ATGGCATGGCTTTCATTTCCTCTTTTATTTTGGAAGTATGACCTTCTCAAAGCTGCCATTGCACAGTTCGAAGTTACGATCAGCCCTTCTTACTTATGCACGTGGCTATCTTATCAGGGATAATTCGGTGGCATGTGTGCTTGATGCCAAGCAAAAAAACAGGAAAGGTTGTACAGTATTGTCAGGCATGGAGTCTTCCAATGACCCTTTCAGATGGCTTGGAATGACTCCCATTTCAGGACTGCTCCTGGACTGTTTTTATTCAGTATTTCTACAACACCATGTAAGGTCCGTATAGTTAAAGCCATGGTTTTCCCAGTAGTGATGTATGGAAGTGAGAGCTGGACCATAAAGAAGGCTGATCGCCGAAGAATTGATGCTTTTGAATTATGGTGCTGGAGGAGACTCTTGAGAGTCCCATGGACTGCAAGAAGATCAAAACTCTCCATTCTGAAGGCAATCAGCCCTGAGTGCTCACTGGAAGGACAGATCCTGAAGCTGAGGCTGCAATACTTTGGCCAACTCATGAGAAGAGAAGACTCCCTGGAAAAGACCCTGATGTTGGGAAAGATTGAGGGCACAAGGAGAAGGGGATGACAGAGGACGAGATGGTTGGACAGTGTTCTCGAAGCTACAAACATGAGTCTGACCAAACTGCGGGAAGGCAGTGGAAGACAGGAGTGCCTGGCGTGCTCTGGTCCATGGGGTCATGAAGAGTCGGACACGACAAAATGACTAAAGAACAACAACAACACCATGTTGTATGCGAATGAAGTGAGGAGCTTAGGATTGCAACCAGCATTAGCCATACTCGGAGGAGGCCCATTGAAAACAATGGACATTAACTTAGGTCTGTTAATTTCAATGGGTTCCCTCTAAGGACAAATTTTCTGGTATCATTGTGCATTCATGATTTGTGCTCATGATGTTTATTGGGGTGGTTATACACAATTCTGCTTTTCCAGTTTGTTCCTGCAAATGTTCTGGGGTGGACATAGTGCTTCCTCACCCCAACTGGTGTATGTCTTGTATCTTAAAAATGTAACACATAAGACAAATCTGCTGGAAGATACAAGATTTACCAACTATCAAAGAATGGCAGATGAAGATGATGGACTATATGGAACTTGCCAAACTGACTGGGAGACTCCGAGACCAGAGAGAAGAAACAATGGAAGAAGACTGGAAGAAGTTTAAGGAATATTTGAAAAAATATGTTAATATTTAAATCTTAGAATAGCTTTGGAAGTGGATATAGGATGTAGGGTTAGAAGTAGAAGATAGTGTATTTTAAAATAGTATTATTTGTAAGTGATAAAATAAGAAGTTATCTTAAGTGTGATTAAAAAAAAAAGATGGTTAGAAACTATGATATATGGAAACTGCTAAAGATGAAGTAAAATGAAAATCAGGTAGGTGGGACTTGGGGAAGCCCACTTAACAATGTTTAGAAAAAATAAGGATATGACAAGAATTTGTTTGCATTGTTTGTTTTTCTGTTTGTGTTATTTGTGTTATAAAATGAATTTAAAAAAATGGGGGGGGGAGACAAATGTGCTGGATGAGGCCAGTGAATCGTCTAGTCCAGCATGAGGGTGGCCAACCAGATGTCCGTGGGGAGCCTGCAAGCTGGCCATGGATGCAACAGCACGCTGCTCACCTGCAGATTCCAGCAGCAGTGAAGGTAGAACATAGCCATGGATTTGTCCATAAGAACACAGCTTCCTGCTGGATCATAGAACTGCAGAGCTGGAAAAGATCCTGAGGATTATCTAGTTCAACCCCTTTCAGTGCAGGGATATTCAGCTGTCCCATACAGGGATCGAACCTGCAACACTGGCATTATCAGCACCACACTCTAACCAACTGAGCTATCCAGGCTGATATCCTGCAACTTTAAATACCATAAATACTGCAGGGTGATTTTTTCTTGGGGGGGGGGGTCCTGTTTTTGCTGCGCTACATCACAAGAGGACTTCTGCAGCTGGCAATAATGTGGAAACATTGGGAACAACCACCGTATTTTTCGCTCCATAAGACGCACTTTTTTCTTCCTAAAAAGTAAGGGGAAATGTCTGTGCGTCTTATGGAGCGAATGTGTGGTCCCTGGAGCCAAATTGCCCAGGGGAGAAAAGATCTTTTTTTGTTTTGTTTTGCTTTTTTGAAAGAGGGAAGTGGGTGTTGAAACAAAGCCGCTGATCGACAAGCGATCGGGAGGGAGGTAAGGTTGCTGGTAAAGGAGGCTGCCGGGGGAGGTAAAGACAGCAAACTTGCAAGGAGAGGAGACAGGAGTACTAAAACAAGCAATGAGGAGAGAAATTAGAAGAAAAGGAGGAGCAGAAAACTGCTCCAGCTAAGGAAAATATACTAAGGCAAACAAGAAGGAAGGGGGTGTTGAAAGGAAGCAGCTGATCGGCAAGCGATCGGGAGGGAGATAAGGGACGCGGTAAAGGAGGCTGCCTGGGAGGGGGAGGTAAAAGCCCATGGATCCTCAGGATTTTTGCATTGGGTCATCCCAAATTCACCATCAGATCACATGTCTGTGGCCACAGCACGAACCACAAAAATCATACACCCACTGTTTCGTTCAGAATATTTTGTTTCTTGTTTTCCTCCTCTAAAAACTAGGTGCGTCTTATGGAGTGAAAAATACGGTAATAAATCAGGTTGAAGGGTCCGCTATTAAGATCCTATTGGCGTATTGACAACATGTTGCAGAATACATCCACATATTTAGAATGGCAGTAGTGGGTGAGACAACAGAGGGAAGGAACTGAATGACAAGTGTCACAAGGAGAGGTGTTAACACTGTTAGGTCCACCGTAGCAGTAGCAGCTAAGAGTCGTGTGGCACCTTATTCCAGCATAAGCTTTCTCAGAGGTAAAAGAAAGAGACACAGAAGGGATAAATGTAAGCAAACACTGACATGGATATGGGCCAAAGGCTTAGTGTTCCTACCAACACCTTGACCACCAGGACCATCCCAGCCTATTCTACCAGCTTCTTACACAAAGGAAAGATGCTCAGTTAGTGCAGCCTGGACCAGACATCCCAAAGGAGCATCCAGACACAGGAAATGGCTTCATGCTATTGGTTTGCCTAGCCCAGTGCTGCCTGCTGCCTGGCATCTGTTTCCTAACGTTTCACGCAGAATTATGGCTCTGCGGAGAGAGAAAAACAACAACAAAGGAACGCCGAAAGCCAAAACGAGTGTGTGTAGACTGCAAGGCAAGAAAACATTTGTTTCCCGGTTCCTTGGCTTGGAATCAGAGGGAAAGCGTATGGACAAACGCCAATCAAAGCAGCTTCTTCCATTGAAAATAAAACCGGGGGAAATGTCAGCTTGTCAAGCAAATCTGCTCAGCTCCATAAACCAAGAGCCCACCTGTCTTGGACGGTGTTCCACCAGCTGTCTGGCAGTTTCAAAGCATAGCCCTGATGAGATGCCAGCATAGCGGTGGGCAGCGTGGCTTGGTGTGGCGTGCCAGCAATTGTGCTCACCTGCAGGAGAGCAGAGCGTGTCTTTAAGCCAGAGACAGGTCTCTCCTGCCTGAACGCTCTTTGCCTCCTGTTTACAAGGGTCTTGCCCTCTGGGTTTCATGACTTCATCAGGTGTTGCTTAATCCGAGCGAGGGATGAAGGAAAGGTAAAAACAACATCAAGTATGTGGCAACAGTTTCCACCCGCTGTGCGGGGCGATTGATGCAATGGCCCATGTGCTTTTTACCGTGAAATGCTGCGCTTCAAATTATTGCCAGCATTCTTCCAGCAGCCCTCCCCACTCCTGGAATCGTCACGCTCCGGAGAAGCTGAAAGAATGACGTGCTTGCAATGAGGATTTTTCCAAGAGGTGTTGCTCGGATGACCACTGTAAGAACTATTGCCTCCAGCAGCTGCCACACCACTTGGCTGTTTCAGATGAGATGGCGTCGCCCACTCCTTTGGCTCACCCAGACCAAATAGTCACAGGACTCATTCCTGCCCAGAACTGCCCCAGTCAGTGGCCATTCTACCTGGCCTTGATGTGCCTTTGTAACACAACAGCCTTATTTACAGGCGTCTCCCCATAATGTGGGGGTACCCATGCACAGAATCGAAAATTGTGTTTAAGCAGGGAGAACCCTCTATAAAGCCTCTATAAAGCCAGCTTTCTTCCTGTTCTCCAGAGCTCTCTCCAATCCAGACCAAAATATATGGAGCTGAAGCTCTGGGGCCGGCTGGAGGATGAGCTGGAAAGCGGCTGCTGCTGTGCTACCCCGCACACCAGCTGTTAGGCGGGGAAGCTGAGCAACCTAAACAAAGCTGTGCTTCGGGTTTCTTCGGGGCTTCCTCTGCCCTCACTGACGTCCTCTTTGGGCTCCAGGGAGCCACAAGGACTCTCCAGCTCTCTCCCACTATTTCCTGGTTTGAATCTATTTATTTCCTGGCACTGCACAGAGTGGCATAGGGTGGGTTGCCAGCCATGTGGTGGGGGTGGGGAGGGAGGAAAATGGATGGAGTATGCATGCGTATTCAACTGCCTAATAGTGTCCATGTCACCCAGGAAATCACAGCCTCAGAGATAGGAAAACAAGAGTTGTTCCATTGTCTGAAGAGGTCACGTGGAGAAGCTGTTTTCAACGGGGCTGTATTGCGGCAGAACCGGGTGTTGAAATTTTGTGCCCCTGACAATTCTGCACACGGGGCAACGCTACACCACTGGTTACACATATATACAGTTGCATGTGAATCAATTGTAAGTAGGGGGAGGCCTGTATTAATTTCTCCACATTTACATCCTGCCTTTCTTCCCTCCCAGAGCCCAAGTGTGGTTCTCAGGTGGTCTCCCATCCAGGCTCTGATCAGACTCAGACCTGCTTAGCTTTGACACAGAGTTGGCCTTGCATGCCTTCAGACCAGCCTGTTATGGAACTGCAGCGTTAGCCAAGCGTAGGCCTTTCTTTAAAAAGATTTAAGGGCTTGCTTTGCAACGTGAACTCTTTTACTTAGCAGACTCTGGCAATGAGAGAAATACGTTTTTATTTACAGAACGCAAGACGTCAACTGCTGGGTGACATTTTTAAAAAGGAATTAAAAAACAGGTTGGGTGGCAGCGTTTTACACCTGGCACTCTCGAAGGAGCAAGGAAAATGCTTTCGGCGACAGGTCAGACCTTCAACTTTGCCTGCAATTGGAATACTTGAAATAACAACCGGTTACACAACCACCTGGCAATCAGCAACTTATCTCAGGCGACCTCTTCTAACATCACATTTTCTTTGTCGTAACAGCCGCGGGAGTGCCAGCTGACTTCTACTGTGTTGACCGGCTCTGTTTACTCTGACTGTCGATTGCTCTCTTAACGGCTTCATCCGGCACCAGGTCTGATCTCCTGACGGTGAGGTTACTGCAGCCAACCTTGGGGCAGCTGTAAAAAGACAGGGAGAGAAAGTGACCCCAGTAAAATCAGCAGAACGGAATTTCTCACTTTGGTTTACCTTCAGGTCCAGCGGTGGTTTCCACTGGCTACCTACAAGGAATGGGAAATCAAATACATAGGGAAGACTTTTTCTGTCCACATTCCCACAGCATTCCCCCCAACAGCAAAACACCATTTTCAAAATCATAAAGACTCTGAAACTGACATACTACCTCTATGTGGCAGATCCAGTGTACTGAATTATGGTTCAGGATTACAATGACACCTCGGGTTACAGATGCTTCAGGTTACAGACGCTTCAGGTTACAGACTCCGCTAACCCAGAAATAGTACCTCGGGTTAAGAACTTTGCTTCAGGATGAGAACAGAAATCGTGTGGCAGCGGGAGGCCCCATTAGCTAAAGTGGTACCTCAGGTTAAGAACGGACCTCCAGAACGAATTAAGTACTTAACCCGAGGTACCACCATACTGGAATTTTTCAATGTCTACAATCAATACAGAAGAGAAGAACGATTTGATAACGGCGAATAAGAAGCTGTTTTTATCATGACAGCCTTCTGTTTTGCCTAGTTTTCCTCCTCTGCTATGCCAACTTTTTGTAGTGCGATTTGAAAACGTGTTGCCTTTCCTAGGTTCTGTTAGGACTCTTCTTTTTCTGAGATCAGCCAGATCAGCAAGGTGCAATGCGATGTTGATCTCCTTCCTTGCTGGGTAGCAGTAATCTGTTTTGGGGAGACACATGATGAGGAATGCAATTATCCTGAGCAGGTGGGAATAGATGCCCCCGGGGAGGTTGAATGCGCTGAGATATATGAACGTTTCTGCTTGTAGATCAGTCTTAAGTGGAACACAATTTGCCCGTGGTAGTAATAATAGGTAATAGCATTGCAGACTGTAATCTCTGCATATTGTTTTAGGCCTTCAAAGAACTTTACAAACGGCAACTTCTATATTCTCACCCTGCTGATGAATCTGAAGAGACGGGGCGGACAGATAAGAGAAGCAGTTTGCCTTGGGCCGCACTGAGAAACTGCAGCGAAGCAAATGTCATGGGAAATAATCAATTCTAGCCAAAACCTCAAACTCTGGCACTCGACTCCAACAGTATGTTTTTTCGGTCCATGCCAAAGCATGGAGTTTGGTGCAATGCACAGAATTTCCTTCCCCTTATTATTCTTCACCAGTTGCTTTTAAGAAAAGAAAAAAAAATCCTAATTTTGAAGTAGAATTATGCAAAGTTAACAGGGTGCTCTCTACCTGTGGGCTCAAACGTGAACAAGAGTATTCGTTTTATGAATATGCAAAAGGCTCAGAACTATATTGAAACTAGAGGGAAAACTGCTTTTGCAAAATAGACACTGTGGAAGGAGGTAAGTGAGAGTTGTGGGGGCTTACTTCGACATAGGAGCAAGGCTTTCCTTTTGTGGAAAACACAAAGAAAACTACCAGACCCATCATGCCTAACCTGAAATGATGCTCAGAGTGTCATTTGGGATTTGGGTGCCTCGTGAAGGCGTTCTTATCCCAACAGGCCTTCCCATAAGGCAAATCCTGTCCTAGTCACTGTTGATTTTGTAATGGCATAAAGGTATTTTAAATAAGTATGTATATGAATATCAATGTACTGCATCGTGGTTTTTATTTTTGCATATAGCTTCGAGGTTCTTCATGAATATAAACTGATAAAGGGATTTTAAACTAATAATAATGATAATGATAATAATAATAATAATACAGTGGTACCTCGGGTTAAGAACATAATTTGTTCTGGAGGTCCGTTCTTAACCTGAAACTGTTCTTAACCTGAGGTACCACTTTAGCTAATGGGGCCTCCTGCTGCCACCGCACGATTTCTGTTCTCATCCTGAGGTAAAGTTTTTAACCCGAGGTACTATTTCTGGGTTAGTGGAATCTGTAACCTGAAGCGTCTGTAACCCGAGGTACCACTGTAATTTATTGCACAGGAGAAGCTGTATGGGGTCTTTCACAAGAACATGAGAAAAGCCTGCAAGGTCAGGTCAATGGCACATCCTAGTCCAATATCCTCTTCCCAGAGTGGCTGGTCAGATAATCATGCGAAACCGCAGAGAAGCATCTGAGCTCAATAGCACTCCTCCGGACAGTGAAGACAGCACATAGTCAATGTGGCCATCTTTCTTCTGTCTGTCCTGAATCTTCCAACCACAGACCCTCCAAGTGCCCCTATTTTCCAGGGACACCCCTGATTTAGAGAAGCCGTGCCCGTTTCTGATTTGACCCCCTGAATGTCCCGCTTTTCCTTAGGACGTTGCTATTTTCATTGGAGAATTGTTGGAAGGTATGGAATTACGCGACCGCCCGAGCCAAGGAGATTAGTAACTATACGACCTTTAGGAGATGTCTCAAGGCAGCCCTGTATAGGGAAGGTTTTTTAAAAAAAATGTTCATTTCTGTTTTTATATATGTTGGAAGCTGGGGCCACCCAGTCAGGTGGGCGGGGTAATAATAATAATAATAATAATAATAATAATAATAATAATGGAATAGCACATCCCCATTTTCCTTGGAGAAATGTTGGAAGTTATGCACCCATCCCACTAACCAGGGAACTCAGGAAATTGAAGTTCTGTGAGGGAATTAGGCTTTTCTTAACAACTCTCACTAGCCTGAAGAAACAATGCTCCCCAAGAATTCTTTGTGAGAAGCCACAAAGTGTTTGAAGTTGATGAAGAGTGCTTTATTTGGATGGTGCAAATGTGGCCTTCAAGGTTTTTTTTTTGGGGGGGGGGGGGGGTTTGCGGGTGTACAGTTCAGACATGAACCTCATCCCACAACCAGGAGTTGGACACACACCCCCCCTGTGTTTTACGGCGGTCACCCATACAAAAAGTTGCTCAATATGTACTGGAAACTGTTGTCAAAGACTCCACAACGCACAACAACTTGACAACCATTGTTACTGTGTGCGTCGCAACCCAAATTGTTTGAGGCCCCAAACTCTACCGACCGGGGAGCCCCAATCCAAAGCCCTTTTTATATTTATTTTTTGAGGTCCTACTCATCACCCCATGGACCCATTCTGCCTGGGAAGAAGGCACCTTGCCCCAGAGTCAGCATTTGGAGCCGAGAGTCAGCAGTCATTACTTCTGCGCTGTGTCTCCTCGCTAGTTGCCTTTGCCTTGGGCGAACCGCGGAGTCTCACCGTTTGGGGTTTGTTTCTCCCAGTCTACAAAGTGGTTAGGGCAATTATGATCTATTTGGCACATGTTTTTGCCAGGATTAATTAATTCTGGTGAAGCGCCTAGGAAGCCTCAAGTCAAAAAGCAAATCTGCGCGACACAGGAATGCCGATGTTACTCGAGCACAGAGATTATTCTCAGCCGTTCGGAGGAGGAAGAAGCTAGGGTGGGGTCATTTAAGGAAGGAGGGAGGGATTTGTGGAAGTGGGATTTTGTTCTTATTTATTTAAGGATGCCCATAAGGCCAATTCTACTTTTAAGGTGGCTTAAAATGTAAAAGTACAATACAGTTGCCAATTGTTTTTTTAAAAAAAGACAAACACCCTTAATAATAATAAAAAGCCAGATAAAATTAAATAAACTCAGGCAGCCCCAAATCAAAACAACTCAAATACTGGTTCATACTAAAAGGCAAAACATCTCAAGCAAAGGCCAATGACAATAGGGTTTGTTTAACTTCCATAAATCCCTGCACTGGTGAGGTTCGATGAAGCCCTTCTAGCAACGGCAGCCAGTGTGGTGCAGTGGTTAGAGCATTGGACTAAGCCCTGGGAGAGGTGGATTCAAATCCCCATTCAGCCACGAAGGTGACTGGGCTTCCCTGGGCCAGTCACAGACTTTCCACCTAACGTACCTTACAGGGTTCTTATGGTGTTGAGCTGGGGAGGCGGAAAAACCCTGAGCTCCTTGCGGGAAAGGTGGAATACAACTGATAAGCAAATAAATTCCAGAGGTGTGGGGGCTACCACCGAGAAGGTCTCCTCCCATCCTGGTTACTTTCAGAAACAAGCGCGTGAGGAGGGCCTCCATTGATAGTCTTAATAGGCAGGATGTGTGGCAACTAATGGGAGAGGTGTTCCTTCAGATATCTTGCTCCTCATCAGGGCTTCATACACAGAAGTGAGCATCTTCTATTGAACTCAGCCAACAGGCAGCCTGTGGGGTTACTTTTAGGAGTGCCATGGCATGATGACATCTAGCTCCACCACCCAGCAACTTGATGGCTGTGCTTTGTGCGAGATGAAGCCTCTGGACCATCTCTTTGGGCAGCCCCACATAGAAAACACGGCCATAGTCCCATCACAGCATCTCAAACCGATCCATACCACGCAACAGAATGAGGTGGTAGAGTTTTGGAGCGATAAAACAGAGCAGGTAAGAGATACAGTGGTGCCCCGCAAGACGAATGCCTCGCAAGACGAAAAGGTTTTCCATTTTTCGAGCTGCTTCGCAAGATGAATTTCCCTATGGGCTTGCTTCGCAAGACGGAAAAAAATCTGGGTTTGAATTTCTGTGTGGTGGGTGGCTGGGGGAACAGTTGGGGAGGGGTTTGCAAGAATCTGGAAGCTTGTGTGTGTTTTTTCTGCATTTTTATGATTTTCTGTGACCATTGGGCAACTCTGCTGTTTTTTTAAGAAAATTCTGGGTTTGAATTTTGAAATGCTCTTTACAGTATGTGTGACTTTAAAGAGCACTTAATAAACTCTTGTTGTACCAAATTTGGCTTTGTTGGGACTTTTTTTTACCATAGGAACGCATTAATTGATTTTCAATGCATTCCTATGGGAAACCGTGCTTCGCAAGATGAAAAATTCGCTAGACGAAAAAACTCGCGGAACGAATTAATTTCGTCTTGCGAGGCACCACTGTACTGACTTTGCTCCTGAGATCCATAAGATGGAAAATGCTCAGTCCCCCACCTCCAATCCTTTAAAAATCCTCTCTGGGGGATCAGGAGATTCTCTGGGTCTGTGAGGATGGGATGGCGTATGGGGCTTCTGGGGGGAGGTAGGGGCGCCCAAAATTGAGCAGAGGTACCTTGCTTTGAGAAAATCCCTTTCTGGGAACATCCTTGGATCACAGGATCTAAGCCACCATTTTTCAACGCCCTGCATGATGAATTCTTGCATAACAAAGTACGTTGGGCTACAACATTTCTGCCTGATGTGCCAGCTTTCTGCTTGCAAGGGAGCTTTCGGGTTTAGTTTGTTCTACCCAAGGGAACATAAGGGACGCGGGTGGCGCTGTGGGTAAAAGCCTCAGCGCCTAGGGCTTGCTGATCGAAAGGTCAGTGGTTCGAATCCCCGCGGTGGGGTGCGCTCCCGTTGCTCGGTCCCAGCGCCTGCCAACCTAGCAGTTCGAAAGCACCCCCGGGTGCAAGTAGATAAATAGGGACCGCTTACCGGCGGGAAGGTAAACGGCGTTTTCGTGTGCTGCGCTGGCTCGCCAGATGCAGCTTTGTCACGCTGGCCACGTGACCCGGAAGTGTCTCCGGACAGCGCTGGCCCCCGGCCTCTTAAGTGAGATGGGCGCACAACCCCAGAGTCTGGCAAGACTGGCCCGTACGGGCAGGGGTACCTTTACCTTTACCTTTACCCAAGGGAACACTTGAGATGTATGAAGAATACATATGTAATAGATGTGTGCGGCCAGAAATTATCTTTAAAGAGGGTTGTGGTGGAACTACTTCAGAAGCTGCCAAAAAGAGGAGCCTGGACATTTCCGCCCGTTCCAGAAAACAAGTCAGAACACAGCACCTCGTAACTGTGCACTGCAGATGTTACATTTGCATCCTCACTTTAATATTGCACTAGGTGTTAATTACACCTTGAGATATAAATTGCACTTTGCATCACCTGTCACGGGTGGACAGGTGTAGGGCAGAATGGGACAATATTCTGCTCAACTACTCCCTTCCTTTAACCCATTTACACGGGAGCAAGGCTCGTCAATGTGACTTACTTCTGAGAAGGCATCTGTAGGACTGCCCTGTCGGTTGCTTTCGAGGTGAGGGCACCCAAAACTTGGGATTTAAAAATGCAGTCAGATCAAGGGCATGATGGTGGCTTCACGCCCCTGCAGCTGATCCTCTGGTTTTGTCTTGCTCATGCTGATCCAAATGATCCCCGTACTTCCTCCTGGCACTTCCTCAACATTGTCATGTGCTGCAGAAACGCCAGCCTTCTCTACGATAAACAATGCCTGTCTGCTGTGCATCATCTAGAAAACTTATGGATGTGGCCTCGACTCTCCGGCCAACAAGGTACACCTCTCTAGGTAAAGGTAAAGGGACCCCTGACCTAACTGTCCAATCGTGGGCAACTCTGGGTTGCGGCGCTCATCTCGCTTTATTGGCCAAGGGAGCCGGCGTACAGCTTCTGGGTCATGTGGCCAGCATGACAAAGCCAGTTCTTGCGAACCAGAGCACTGCACGGAAACGCCGTTTACCTTCCCGCCGGAGCGGTACCTATTTATCTACTTGTACTTTGACGTGCTTTCGAACTGCTAGGTTGGCAGGAGCAGGGACTGAGCAACGGGAGCTCACCCCGTTGTGGGGATTCGAACCGCCGACCTTCTGATCGGCAAGTCCTAGGCTCTGTGGTTTAACCCACAGCGCCACACCTCTCTAGGAATAGTTTAATGAAGAATAGACTAGAATGGCCCTCTCTCAGGACCTTCTCCAGGCACCACACCTCTTTTAAAGTTTTTGCAAGCTGGAAAGCAGGGCTTTTTTTTAGCTGCACTGCAGCACCTCTCAGGTGGGCAGCAGCACCTGACTAGCACAGACCCGCTGTGCCTTCGCCTGACAAAGAGACCGTCCCTGAAGCGGATATCCTCTACAGGTTCCGAAGAGGATCTCCTCACGTGGGAAAGCTGCCCTGTCCCTCCTTCTTGAGCGCACCAGCCGGAGAGGCAGGGAGGCTAACACACAAATGGGACAGGACGGCATTATGAGTGGACGCATGAAACCAATATGGAAAAAGAAGCGCTCGCCCACCCCAAGGCAAGCTCGAAATCTCTGGACACAGCATGCAATGTGAACTGATGTATATGAGCATAATTTGCAGCAGCTCTGAAGCCACCCCCATTCTCCTGATTGCAAATTGCTTTTAAAATGTTTCAGTATTGCGTTTTACCCTGGAAGTAAAGAAGGGTTGGCAAAATCCAAGAGGCAACAACAGAGGCCCCAGTTTTCACAGAAAGCACTGCCATGATTGTGTGCATTGCCTCCAAGTGTACAGAAATGTAGACTGTGTTTTTTTGTGTGTGTATTCTGTTGGAAGCCACCAAGAGTGGCTGGGGTACAAAAAATAAATACTACTACTACTACTACGGAGGGACGCGGGTGGCGCTGTGGGTTAAACCAAGCCTAAGACTTGCCGATCAGAAGGTCGGCAGTTCGAATCCCCATGATGGGGTGAGCTCCTGTTGCTTGGTCCCTGCTCCTGCCAACCTAGCAGTTCAAAAGCACACCAGTGCAAGTAGATAAATAGGTACCACTCCTGCGGGAAGGTAAACGGCGTTTCCGTGCTCTGCTCTGGTTCGCCAGAAGCAGCTTAGTCATGCTGACCACATGACCCGGAAGCTGGACGCTGGCTCCCTCGGCCAATAAAGCGAGATGAGCGCCGCAACCCCAGAGTCGGCCACGACTGGACCTAATGGTCAGGGGTCCCTTTACCTTTACCTTACTACTACTACTAATTCTAGTGATAACTTTGCTCTGACTTTTTCTGTCAGGGTGAAGAAGCAATCTCCTTTACTTATTTATTAAAAGAACCTACTTTTTTGTTTTGTTTTTGAGCTTAGCAAAATTCCCTTCCCATTTTGGTCATGGTTGCTTACCAGGCATTCTTGCCACGCTGTTCCTTGCGTCGGATCAGGTCCAGGATAGCTTCTTCTTCGTAGAAGTGCCCACAGACTTTATTCTTGACAGGTTTCTTCATTTCTACCTGCAATAATTAATCCACCTGTGCTTAACAAAGATCTTGATGTGGTTAGCCATGTTCTTAATTGAGCTCCACAGCACTCCATTGCCATGGAAAATATCTGCTGAGTAACCATTTAATAGTCTTGTCCTATTTTTTGATACATTTATTTCATTTGAAACATCTCAAGCCCTATAAAGATACCCACTAGGAACAAAAGCTCCACTTGGAAAGCTTGCTGAAAGAGGAAAAAACCAAGAGTAAAAGTAAAAATAGCCAACATAACTTAAAAAGTAAATATAGGAAAAATAAGGCACAGGCAAACTCAGCCCTCCAGATGTTTTGGGACTACAGTTCCCATCATCCCTGACCACTGGTCCTGTTAGCTAGGGATCATGGGAATTGTAGTCCCAAAACATCTGGAGGGCCGAGTTTTCCTATGCCTGGTCTATTGCGCTCTCTCTCTCTGTGTGTGTGTGTGTGTGTGTGTGTCTACTGTACAGTGGTGCCTCGCAAGATGAAATTAATTCGTTCCGCGAGTTTTGTCGTCTTGCGATTTTTTTCGTCTTGCAAAGCACGGTGTCGGGAAAGTTTTGGAAAAGCTTCAAAAATCACCAAAGTCTTCAAAAACCTCAAAAAAGGCTACCACACCGCGTGCTATGAGTTGCTCCTCGAAGTCAAGTCGCAACTGTATTAACGGTGTTAAGAAAAAGGAAACAAACTTGCAAGACGTTTTCGTCTTGCGAAGCAAGCCCATAGGGAAAATCGTCTTGCAAAGCAGCTCAAAAAACAAAAAACCCTTTCGTCTAGAGAGTTTTTTGTCTTGTGAGGCATTCATCTTGCAAGGTACTACTGTACTGTGTTTGTGTGTGTTCAATGCAGTAGCACCACCCTCCTGACCTTGGTGTTGCTGCAGCTCAGCCAGATGGCACGAGGCAGGGTGGTGACGTCCAGGCTGCATGAACGCCCTAGCAAGAGTGCTGGATTGACTCCACCAAGGTGCCCACAAAGCCCCAGCCATGCCGCCACCTTGCCACAGCCCAGCCTGGTTCAGGTGAGCATCAGTGATGCTGGCGTAGGGAGGGGAGTCCTGTGGTTCTGCCCTATTGCCTTGACTGCTATGGATAACACAAGCTGCTACCCTCAGAAGCTTAAGGCCAGGCAGATGAATAGAACAGGAGGAAGACAGAGACTGCAGAGTCAAAGTCAACAGCAGAAGACAAGGAGGGGAAGATGAGAGAAGGAAATAGAGGAGAAAAGGGCAAATTAGCATTAACACATTTACATTCTAATCAGTACCGGGACAGTTACTTCCCTCTAGGGCTTCCCAAACTAGGGTCTCCAGTTATTTTTGGACTACAACTCCCATCGACCCAACTAGCAGGGATCAGGGATGATGGGAATTGTTTGGATTTGATATCCCGCCTTTCGCTCCCTTTTAAGGAGTCTCAAAGTGGCTAACATTCTCCTTTCCCTTCCTCCCCCACAACAAACACTCTGTGAGGTGAGTGGGGCTGAGAGACTTCAAAGAAGTGTGACTGGCCCTAGGTCACCCAGCAGCTGCATGTGGAGGAGCGGAGACGCGAACCTGGTTCCCCAGATTACGAGACTACAGCTCTTAACCACTACACCACACTGGCTCTCTGCCAGTCCAAAAACAGTTGGAGGCCTAAGTTTGGGAAACCCTGCTCTGGTGTGACAGTCCAGGCTTTGCCCAAAGCATTTAACTGGAACATAGGCAACTGACACATCCATCTACAACAAAAAATGGATGTCATGAGCAGAGGTGAAGTGGTAAATAATGAAGCCACCATGAATGTTCCCCATCAGGTATGAGGGTGTGTTGCCTACCTGTGTGATGGGGCACACAAAGTTCATCTGACTTTGCGTCACTGCAAGGTCCTCATCAACCTGTTCAAGCGGCGAGCTCTTTTCCCCATCTGACTGGACACCGACTGCAACATAAACGAGAGAGTGGAAGACCACTCAGTTACAGACATGGCTGCCATCGTGACATTCAGATCTTTGGACTGCGCCACCCCCTGTGGAGGTCTACCTTGCGGCAGCCTGGAGGAGGGCCTTTTCCACTGAAACATTATTATTACCAGTTCATAAGCCACTTAACAGCCCGAGGCAATCAAAGAGATGTGCAACAGCAAGAGAAAAATGGCATAAAGTACAAAAAAATGCAATTATTAAATTTACTTCCAACAGCGACAACAAGACCATTCCTCTATAACCAGGCCTTGGGCTGATGAAACAATCTAAGGCCTTTTAAATATGTTTGTGGTGGGGCTATAGGTGTGCGTTATTATGTATTTTGTGTTCTCATTTTGTCTTTTCATGCTGTAAACCACCTTGTGATTTTCAGATGACGGGAGGTATATAAATTTCATAAATAAAATGAAAACCACATCTTGTGGGCATTGTAACTAGTTCCTTTTGGCTCTCAAACCACCCAGAAGCAGCCCTAGTTATCTGTGTCATCTCATTTCCACAATTTCCAGGATAATTTTGCCATCTGAGTAGCTTCCCATAATTTAGCACTAACAGAGCACTGGAGACTTCTGGGATTGTCATGGCTGGCACACGCAATTACAAGATGCTTGTGCCTACCAGCACAAAGGACGTGTCTCACCCTTTAAATCTGGCGATGTAATATTAATGATAACTTATACTACCCGGGTTTCTAAATGGCTGCTCGCCTGTGGCACGCTAAGGATCTCCTCAAGCGACACAGCTGGAAACCTTCTGTAAACTGAAGAAGAGTTGAGTCCCTCTTTCCTTTTTAGTGGACTACAAATGAGAAGTATAAGAAAGTGGGCTATTAAAAACAAAGTTGTCTAGCTACTTCCATGGACTTGTTTGCAAAGCTCTACCACGCTAAGGGGGTGGAAGCTTCTAGAAACCGCACACTGGTGAATTACTTACTTCTTGCAGCACTAGGGTTGTTTACACACACACACACACAGCCATTCGGGCTTAATTTTCTAATAAAATGAACCAGGTCTACAGAATACAGCGACTTTCCTTCCCTGCTGCAGTTTGGCCAGAGTTATAGAACAGAACGGCACTGTGTATGTGTGTTGCGCAACCGCTTTCATTCGGAGACATGTCCTTCCTTCTCCTCTGCCAAATAAAATCCATTTCTCTTATTTCCTTACAGTCCTTTATGGTGGCCAATCATCTCCTGGGAAGAACTGAGGCTCAAGACAAATGCTGGCTAACCGACCATATACAGAGACGGCGTTGAAAGGAAGTAAAAAAAATATATATAGTTCAATCCTCAAGCATGTTGCAGGAAAGATTTGGGGCTGTGTATCTGCCAGGAAGAAAAAGTGCAGAATGTGCAACTCAATGCAGATGCCAGATTCTGGAGAAATTTGACTCCCATTAAGTACATTTTTTTGTTTTTTTAGAATCCCCTGCCGGTGGTGAAACCTGTTGGGTGGCTTAGGGCCAGTCACTATCTCTCAGCCTTTCCTACCCCACAGGGTTGTTGTGAGGATAAATGGAACCTGGGGAGAACCCTGTGTGCTACCCTGAGTTCCTTGGTGAGATAAAATTGTACTGAATCAGGGATGGGGAATCTGTGCCCTTCCAACTATTCTTGAGCTAGCCCCAGACACAGAACACTCGCCAAAACACCATTGGCCATGTTGGATAGGGCAGAATGGGATTTAACGCCAAAACCATTGGCCATGTTGGATAGGGCAGAATGGGATTTAATGCCCAACAACATCTAAAGGGTGACAGGTTTAAATAAATACAGGTGGTGACTATTTTAGGCAAGTCCAATTGACGCATGGCCACCAACACGCGGCCCTTTTGGACCCGGAAGAAGGCAGAATAAATGGCAATGTTTGTCTGTCTAAGGCAGAGGTTTTCAACCTTTTAGGGTCCCCGGCTCCCTTGACCAACTTTCTTTCTGTGACTCCTCTATGCGGCTCAGGAGCAAAGCGGCATAATGGTATCGGCAGTTTTATTTTCAGTTCCTTTCCTGATGATCCCTAGCACGGGGTTTGCCTTTTTCAGGGCCGCAGCACGCCGGGTTGAAGTGGACATCTGTTGTAAGCCACTTTTGGCTCAGCTCAGTGTGGAAGGCAGCATATCATTAATCTGAATCCATCAATCAACAAGAAGAGGGAGGCTGTAAGGTTTCCCAGCCACGATCTAGCCAGTGTTGTCTATTTGGGTGGGTAGTGATTCTCTTTCGCAAGTATGAAACCTGAATCCTTTTAGCCAGAGATGTTGGGGATTTGACCTGGGACTGCCCACATAGAAAACACACATTGCACCACCAAGCTCATCCTTCTATCTAGTTTGCGAAGTGAGAAGAGGCAGCAGTTTCATCTTACTATGGTGGATGTTGCAACAATTGCTCAAGGAGAATATGCAGAGCTCTTGTGGACTTGGTTGCAGAGAGCTCCTAACTCAGTTACTGCCTCCAAAGCAGATGTTCTAAGGGACAGGCGTGCATTATCAGCAAAACACAGATAAGCGGATTATTGGTTGCATAGGAGAAAAGATTATGCAGATGAGCAGGGATTTGCAGGATACTGTTTTCTTCCAGGGAGGGAGTGTGCATTTTCTGCGCAAAGTAAGGGTGCCTGAGAAGTCCAGTTTCTGGGAATTAGGAAGCAAACTGTCCTAAACCTGCGCCTCTTCAACTAATGCACAGACCGTATATGTAACCAGAACCTTCAATGCAATATATTTTAATGTTGCAACAGCGCCATTCAAATTCAATCACAGCTGAAGGACCACAGGCGATAGTTTGATAGGCAGGATAAAGGTAAAGGTAAAGAGACCTCTGACCATTAGGTCCAGTCATGGCCGACTCTGGGGTTGCGGTGCTCATCTCGCTTTATTGGCCGAGGGAGCCGGCGTACAGCTTCTGGGTCATGTGGCCAGCACGACTAAACCACTTCTGGCAAACCAGAGCAGCGCATGGAAACGCCGTTTACCTTCCCACCAGAGTGGTACCTATTTATCTACTTGCACTTTGACGTGCTTTCGAACTGCTAGGTTGGCAGGAGCAGGGACCGAGCAACGGGAGCTCACCCCGTCGCAGGGATTCGAACCGCCGACCTTCTGATCACCAAGCCCAAGAGGCTCTGTGGTATAGGGAAGCTTTTAATGTGTAATGTTTTACACTATGTTTTTATATATGCTGAAAGCCACCCAGAGGATGATAATAATAACAATAACAACAATAACAACAAAAACATTTTGAATGAATCTAAATCATCTGTGTCTTGCAAGAATTCCTGCAGCTGCCCCACCATGGCACCCCTCCCCCCCCAAGTGGACACTGGCAACTGGCCACTAGCTGTTCCAATCCAAAGGCTCTAGAGCTGGTATTATTAGTATTATTTCTTCCACATACAAGGTGATGTACATTTTTTTTTAAAAGCCACAAAAAAAACACAAGCCCCATAGCAGATAAATTTAAAAAGCACTGCACAGTCAACATCCGTGGCAGAGCCCTATTCATCCAGTTGTTCCAGAATTTGCACAGTTAAGATGCGGAGAACATATAGAGTCATCCGGGTTCTTCTGGAGTAACGCAAGCCTATAAGCAAAGCCTGAATTAGCAGCTGTGTCTTCACTGTATATTTTGACTGTGGGCAAAGGTCATGGCTTATTTCTTAACCGTTTCTGATATGACCCAATCATTCTTTTCATCTTTCCAAATCTCTTGAGTGAGAATATAAGGAGTTGCAAAAGAAAGCAAGGCACTTTTTTTTTTTTTGCACAGCTTCAAAGCATTTATGGGTCACAAGCTTACACCTGGAATTGAATTTCAGCAGTTGCAAAAGCCCTCAGGTTTCTATACTGCCTAGGTTCGCTTTTGCATGGTTTTCAAAACAAGTCCAGCATGGTTTTCGAAGTAAGTTCCAACCATGGTTTTGAAAACTGATCTCTTCCCCGCCCCCACCCCCAACTGTGTGACGGTCTCCACAACAAAATTTCTGATGCCTCGAAAATGTTTGCCATACCTAAAATGCTGATATTGCAATATTAGCACTCAAAAAAGCACTCAAACTCAAAAAGGAGTTTGAACACAGTTCCCCAGGAATTTCCACTATACAAGCCCCGTTGAGATGAACGGAAACACGCCAGTGCAGATACTGGAAAACTTCATAGGGCTGAGGTTGCAATCCTGCACACGTTTACCTTGGAGTAAGTCTCATTGAATGTGGTGGGTCTTAAATTCCGAGTAAGCATTCATAGGATTGCCCTCTAAGCCATTATTAGCACAAATTGATATATTTCATTCACATCAAATTCATTTTCTTTAATCTCAGTTGCCTGTCTTTCTAAAGGTATTTTATCTAAAAATGCTCCCTATGGCACAATCTGCTGGGTTACGCAGTGTAGGATGAAGCAGATCTCAGATGAAGCAGTCTCTCAGCCCCACTCACCTCACAGAGTGTTTGTTGTGGGGGAGGAAGGGAAAGGAGAATGTTAGCCGCTTTGAGACACCTTCGGGTAGTGATAAAGTGGGATATCAAATCCAAACTCTTCTTCTTCTTCTGCTACACATCCTGACTCAATGCTGGCTGAGCTAATTTCTGAGTAAGTCTCAAAAAGGGTATCCCAGGGGTGTGGTACGGGCAGTGCCAGAGAGAGGGGACTTGGGCCCATTCAGCTTGGTTGCGTGACCTGGCAACCTGGTACAGAACACTGTTTTACAGGCTTGTTTTTCCTCTGCCAGACTTAGGCAAAGGAGCAGCAGCAGCAGCCCTAGTGAATGAACACGATTTTGGATCTGGTGTAACTTTTTGCTGGCTTAATTTACACCGGCATGCTTTACGCCAGCTTATTGCACATTGTGTTTTCTCTCGCTCCTGCCATCATTCAAAGTACGTACTGAGCGCATACCACGAGCACAGAACATCTCCACGAAGAAGAAAGTGTTCTCTGTTCATCATGCCTCAGACGTGGTTGG